ACCTTGGATGAGATGATGCAGAAGAAATTCATTCTAAAACAAAGTTAGGAAAACAACTGGGTCGACTCATGCTGGAAGGATGAACTCTGCTACAAAGTGTCTCCAGCTAGAAATGATCAGTGAATTAAGACAGCCATGAAGAGGTAGTGGCAATGGCAATTATGAAGCTACATGAAAAAAAAAAAAAAAAAAAAAAAGCTGATTAAGTGGTTTGCCCTGGGAGTATTTTGTAAAACATTTGTTCTTCTTGTTTTGACTACCCTTATGTTTTTACTGGATGCCAGTAAATGTAGGGGTTTTATTAAAACAAAATGAAGCAAAAAAGAAAACAGAGCATTTATATTTAGCTTTTTCAGATGTCAGCCTTCAAGGCCAAGAAGGGCTAGTGCGTCTGCATGCCTTTGGCCTTAAAACATGAAGTCTTGGGCCGGTGAGATAGCTCAGCAGACTCAGCACCTGCTCAAGCAAGTGCAGGGACTGGGGTTCCGTTCCTGGACCACATGCTGCACTGGCCCCGCCTTTGGGAGCGCTGAACCAGCCACTGAGAATGGGCATGGTGGCTGGCGCAGGCCCATAATGCCAGCGCTGGGCAGGCTGAAAACCAGAAGATCACTATGAGTCTGAGCAGCCTAGTGAGACCTTAATACATAAAACAAACACCATAAAGTCTTTTTTTTTAAATTGTAGGTATTTGAATTTTTTTTTAGTGTATTAAGTACAGGGTCTACAGGGTCTCACTACACAGATCAGACTCGTGGTGATCCTCCTGTTTTAGCCTCCCAGGTGCTGGGATTACAGGTGCATGCCACCATGCCCAGTTTCAATAGCCTCTCATGCAGGGCCGGCATGGCTTGTGGTGCTGGGGATCCAACCCTGCCTAAGCAGGCACTTTAGTTTGCTGACCCATCTGGTGCCCCTAATTGTATGTATTTGGTACAGGGTCTCACTACACAGCTTGGACTCATAATGATCCTCTGGTTTTCAGCCTTCCCAGCGCTGGGATTACAGGTGTGCGCCATCATGCCTGGATTTGGTTGCAGGATCAGTGAGCCCAGAGGCGGTGCTGGTGGGGCATGCAGTACCAGGGATCGAACTCTGGGCCATATGCTTGCCAAAGCAGAGGCTTAGTCTGCTGAGCTGTCTTGCAGGCCCAAAACACCATGAAGTCTTGAAGTGGTGTGGTCTGTTGTTCTGTGACTCTTGTTTCCTTCTTCATTTACTTGGCCTTTCTCCTGGTCATTGGGGTGATAGCTGTGGGAGGAAAGGGCTGCCCCAGTTCTCTCTGGGGAAGGGATGCTGTGTAAGTTGGGTGCTGGGCTTCTCTGAGCACCAGAACTGACTCTGGCTGCCTTAGCCACGTAGGACCTCGCTGGGAGGTTGCCGAGTGATTCGCAGCCATGAACAGAAGAGCTCCACAGGGAGGCCTGTTGAGGACTGAGCTGGTAGTGAGGACTTGGTCTTCAGGAAAACCAGTTCCAGCTGTGCCATGGGACTGGCAGGTTTCTCTAAATCTTTGTCTACTTGTTAATTGTCTTGGTACCTCTTGGGGTTCCTCTGAGAATGAAAGCCACCACCACAAGTGTTCATGGTGCTTTTCCCCAATGACAGGTCCTCTTTCTGAGAACCAGGGCTCCCTACATATGGTTCTGTTGACCGCAGCAGAAAGATCAAGGTTGCCTCCAATTGTTTCAATCTTCCCCCAACCCTTAGCTGATTCAGCTGAGAGGACCTGCCTTGCCTAGCCCTTGAGACCTTTGGCCCTGCACAGATGACTTCAGAAGGTGGCAGGGAGGCGTGTCCTCGTCGCCAAGGGCAGATTCCGACCAAGCAGTAGTTCCCAGATTACCTGTGGGTCTCACCTACAGACAGGTGGACTTAGCCAGGGAGGCTGCAGACAGACCCTGGCTCTCCACGCATGGTGCACCTTGGCAAGGCTTGGTTTTTTCAGCCGTGAAGTAGGCTCTTGGTTTCTAGCTGTAGGGCTGCCCGGCTCTCTGGGTGTGGCCCGAACACAGCACCAGGTACTATTTCAGGCTCGGTCCATTTCTGGGTTCTGAATGCCAATATCTGCTTAATGCTGTGTGCTCCTCCTGCTCCTTGGGTTTGGGACTGGCAGGATATATTTTTGCCATCATCCCAGGCAGGGAAGGCTGCAGGTGGGCAGTGACAGGGCAGGTGCCTTTTGATAGCACCAGAAAGGAGTGCTGGCCACCAGGAACAAGTGGCTGCTGAACTGTGTCCAGGTTCTGTGACCTGGCTGTGTCCCTAATCTTCACCTCGAACAGGACCTGGGGCTCGGCACTCAGATCATGTCTCATGGGGGCTGTATTGCCCAGGGGTGCATCATGCTCCCAGTCACCCTTTGCCCATTTGCTTTGAGTAGAGGCCGCCCCTGCTGGTGAGTAGACTGAAGCCTTGGAGCTGCTGTAGCCCCTCTCCCTGGTCAGCCCCTTCAGATTCCTAGGTTATTGGCTGCATGTATTCTTGTAATTACTCGACCCAGATATCCAGTTTATTCTGGCCTGGGGAAAGAGGTAGATGGTTGTGTGAAGTTTGCAGGCACTGCGGAGAGTTCTAGATCTACAGAGTCCCCTGCTGCTTGGAGCTGTGTGTGGTCGGACAGCTCACTGTGTGTTGATGGACACAGTATAGGATCCTGGCCTGCCTCTGGAAGTGTTGACAGCTTGCTTGCTGAGGGTCCCTGAAGAGGAGATGGGGTGCTGTTGCTCCTGTCTGTCTGCAGAGGTCCACCAGAGCTCACTGTGTGGTGACTCTGCTCTGACAGAGGGCTGGCTTCTGACGTGGTTACTACACCCAGGCTCTTCCAGGATGCCAGGGGCCACTCAGGGAAGCAGAACACTGGGATGGATTCAGTGTATGGCCTCTCAGCGTTGAGACAAAAATTAGACAGATACACTTCTTACATCATTTTTCTTTTAAAAGGAAGACATACATTGCATTCCTTTAATTTATGAAAAATAGAAATAGTTTTTCTGTGACGAGTGACCTCTCAGTCACTAAGAACAAGTATGATGAGTTTTTTTTTTTTAACCAAAAAATGTGCAGAAGGTGCCCCGATAGCTCAGTCAGCAGAGCATCAAAAATTAGCAAAATATATTTAGTGTTGCTGACCTCAATAAGCATTACCAACAAGCACCACCAGGGGGCGAAACACTACAAGGGTGGGAGGCAAGAGATTTTCTTTTCCGTGAACCTTCTCAAACTTGATTGTATTTTAATTAAATGAAAATACTAAAAGTGACATAGTGGAGAGCACTTTTAATGGAAAATTAATTGATAACACAATCTTGTTTCAATGTTCTTTTTATTTTTTAATTTAAACGACTGTGTATTCCACAGCCTCAGGATAAGAAAGGCTCCAGAATGAAGTCTAGATCTTCTCAACATTTCATTTTTGAATCAGTTTTTCTTTACTTTGTGCATTGATATGGGCTTCTCAGTTCAGAAAACAAGGCACTATAACTATTTTATCAGCTACATTTAATACATTGAAGATACTTTTATCCTTTCATTAAATATACAGCATTTGAGCACAGTATGGTTTTACGTAGGTCAGGTTCGGAACAGCCAAGGCACACACTTTTTTTTTCGTCCTTTTTTTTTTTCTCCTGTATTTATTTGAAAGGCTCATAGTAAAGCTCCAGAATTGCCATGAAAAGAGTTCCAGAGTAGAAGCACTGAATAGTGGTTGTTGTAATTTTAAACATAAAACAGTAAAGATTGTGCGGTGTAGAACCGTGTTACAGGGATCCTGAAAAAACAGAGCCACGGACACAGTGCGGGGTACGAGTCGAGGGATCAGACCTGCGGCAATCTGAGAGCCAATGCTGGGGGTTACCCCATCCCCGAGGCAGGGGCCGTCCCCTCTGCATGCTGCTGTGCGGCCACCTAGCGACTGTGGCATTTTACTCATGGGCATACATGGTAGCTATAGATACAGAAACACATTCCAGTTTCCCTGGTTATTAAAACACCTCAAAGTTCAAATAAAAGAAAAAAAAATCCTCCAATGATTTTTTTTTTTCCTCCAACAAGACAAAAACTGTACTTGCTTAGGACAAAGGTTTGGAAGAAACCACTGGACATGAACTTGGGGGGTGACGGTGAAAGGCTGGGAGGAACTATTTGAGGGTGAGGTGGTGGCTGGGCAAAGTACAACGATAGGAAGGTTAGCATTGTTGATAAATGGAAACACAGTGGCTGCTGTTCAGGCGGAGAATGTGCCAGAACAGAAGGAATCGTTCAGGGACTAGAGGCTCTTTCCACTGATGAGGCCAAAGAGCTTCAGTGTTTAACATAGACTTTCCTTGTTAGGAGTCAGGGCGCAGCTCTGTAATCCCAGTTACTTGGGATGCTGAGGCAAGAGGAGCACAAGTGCAAAGGCCAGCTTGGGCAACATAGCAAGACCTTGCCCCAAAATAAAGGGGCTAGGGATGCAGCTCAGCACTCCCTCATGCTGCAGAAGGGGGGAGAAAAAGCCATTTCCCGAAAACAGAAGAGATGACCCATGTCTTCCTCACTCAGCTCTTTGCTCTAAGGACACATATTCTTGTTCCAGGCCCAGGTAGATTGCTTGCTTAACGCGTTGGGCTGTGTTGACCAGAGAATCTGCCCAGGTCTGTAGCTGCCAGGGCCTTATGACTAGAAGACAGCTCACTGGGGGCCAGGCACTCCTCCTCCCCTAGGCCTGCCTCAGTCTCCAGGGCTTGGCTGCTGCCACCACAAAGGGGCAGGAACAGCCAAGTCGGGGCCAGGCTCCCAGGAGCCAGAAGCCAGTTCTGACATTTTATAAAAATTATAAAGTAATATACACATTTCCATTCACGGAGAATGCGTAACAGAATGGAGACGCCGCCGATGAGCACGAGGAAAGCGTTTTCGCACTTTGATGAGAGATTTTAACTGGTCAGTTTTAGGGAGGTAAAGCTGGCTGTGTTGCTTCCGATCACCTTTGTTAGGAGCATGGCAACTTTTTGTTGAATTGAGATTTCACTGTTTGCAATCAGAACCACAACCTTAGTGCAAGAGTATATTTATTTTTTTTTTTTTACAGTAATTTTGGTTGCCATACAAGAGATTTGAGGATTGGGAGAAAGTGCAAATTACAGGAGCTTTTTTTGTTTTCTTGTTTTTTAATAAAGTCTAAAAAGAATAAAAGCACAACAGGAACAGCAACAGAGATATGCGAACGTGTGTTACAGAAACTATAGTGTGAAACATATTAGTATTTAAAAAACAAAAACAAATTGTTAATGGGAAATAAAATCAATATATGTGGCCCCCACACAAAAAAGTCATTGCCAGATCAACTGGATGTTTGCTTGTCCAATAACTCAGAAAAAAGTTAGTTTTATTAACTAAAGTACCACAAATAATTCACTTTGTGATATGTAAAATTCAGCAAATCAACAGTCACATTGAATCAATTTTATATTATATGAATTAACTTAAAATGTGCACAGACGCCCTGGAGAAGGTATCTTGGCAGATATATATAATTTACATCTTGAGAGATTTTGGTTTTGTATACACAATATTACAGAAACTAGGCATGTAATTGCAGTTTGCTTAAATTACAGTATATAACAAAAGTTGTTCTTAAAACCTGGAGTAATAGTAATGTGATCATTATATGAGCAGTTTAAACATTTGTTCCACCATTAAAGAGGGGCCTGGGATAGGGCCTGATCCTGACGTGTCCCACAGGGAGAACAGTGGATGGCAATTTGAGCAGGGACTATTGCTTTCTGTAGCAAAACCATCCAGCAGAGCCCCAGTAGACTCTTCTCGGCAACACCGGTGTGTGGTGTTGGCCAAGGCAGGTTCTGATGCATCCTACCGCTATTCGATGATAAGACAGCGTGAAGACTTCGTCAGCTCTGGAGGCTTTCGGTCGGTCAGCTTGCTTTTGGTTAGTGGCATGTGGCTTAAAGTTTCGTTAAGGGGGGGGGTGGTAGCTGCTCTGGCTGCCTGGCTGCCTGGGTCAGTAGGCCCCAGGCCACCAGTCCCCTGTCTAGCATTCTTCCTGGCACTGTGTGTAGAGGTAATGCCAACTGTAGGCAAAGGAAAAGAGCCTGGTGAAGTGGTATACTGAGAAATTTCGCAAAAATCACTGAATGGAAGACAAATTAATGGCAGAACCACTAGTTTTACATTTTCTGGAATACAGCCGCCTGTGGTACCTTTTTCTAGAGTAATGCTTGTTTATGACATCGTGGGGAACAGAAAGTACATGAAGCAAAGCGCCTTAGTGTTCAATTAATTCCACTGGATTGGGTCATTCAGATAGGAAGATTGACCTGCAAATGGTTTTGGAACAGACGTGATCCAAATATTGGCTTTCCAAATCAAGGATGTGCGTGTGTGGGGTGTGTATTTTGGTTTTATTTTTGGAGAAACTGCTGCATTGTGAATTGTAATGACTTTTGAAGAAATAATTGTCTTTCAATGAAGAAGTTCTAGCAAAGATAGAAAATATAACACAGCTCTGCTGGTTCAGATGCATCCAGATAAGGTTGATTTAAAAAGGTCATACTTGTATAATTATTCCACAGAAATAGTATCATTAAATCACAAAAGTTTTTTTTTTCTTTAACTTTCTAGCACTGAAGTAGCACAAAGGCTGCCTAGTAGACCAGCCACTTTTTTTTTCTTAAAATATTGTGCTTATAAACTATCTGTACACCTATTTAAACTTGCAGTAAAGAAAGATTTTAAATTGCTAAATTTTATGTGTTCATTCTAGAGTTGTTTCAGACCTCATCAGACACATGGTCGTGAGCATAAAGAAAAAAAGGAAAAAAGGTGTTTTATAATTAGAGATGGGCTGGGCTAGTTCTAAAATCATAATGAAACCACACACCTGACATTTGCATTTTCTCCACACTTGGGAGAAGGTGCGAGAAGCCTGACTTGATGTTTTTCAGCCTGTGTGCAACTGGTGACCTCCCTTGGACATCAGAGGTATCATTTCTGGAAGGAGGGACTCGGGGCAAGAGGGGTACAGGCTCAGGAAGCCAGGCCATCGTCTGGGGCCACCATCCTGCCTTGTTCCTGTTCTCATTCACCTGCATCCTGAAGCCTACCTTCTGTTCTCTGCCCTGGGTCCTGTCTGTACTCCCTGCCCATGGGGTCCTCCAAGACCCTGTTGTACTATTAAGACAAGCTGGTGGGATTCCCGGATATCCGGAGTGAAGGGGGAGAAGCCCCTAAGTACCACCTTCCCTGGTATCTGTGAGCAGAAGGGCCATCCTGGCGGAGGTGTTTCCTTCAGCTGGGTTCAGCCTGAGGTCACACAGCTCCACCAATGACCACGTTGTCTTCTTGTCCTTCATGTTGAAGTGGATGCTCACCTGCTCTGATCTTTGCAGAGCTCAACAGGCCTTTAATTAAAAAGAATCCTGAGAGGCAGAGGACCCCTCTCCATCCTGGGCAGATGTTCCTGGCAGTAGTTGCTCTTGTCTCAGAAGAGGCCCTGGGCCCAGGAAACTGCACAATGGCTGGTTCCCATGGCCAGGGCTCCCCTCCTTGGGATCGTGACCTTGTGCTTTGACTAACTCCATGTGACATCTGTTTGGCCACCTTGGAATTATGCTAATATTTGCAGAAAGAAAGAAAGAAAGCTAAGCAAAGCCAGGCACGATCCCATTTCAAACGCCTACCACTGCCGAGGACTTCATGGCTAAGAACCATGGGCGCACAACACAGGAGGAGACGGGGGAAGTGATCCAGCCAGGAAAAGCCACTGTCTACCTTTCAGGCCCAGGAAGGGCCCTGAATGAGCCCGTCTGGGAGCATCGCACTGAAGCAAGTACAGGAAAGAGACAGGAGCAGATGGGCACTGGGCATCCTCCAGGAGGCCACAGGCTGGAGGAAAGGCTTGTGTTGGGACCTGCATGGTGAGAGCTGCCCAGAAAGCAGAGCAGGGAGGTCTCAGGAGGTATCTGGAGTACATTGATGTCTGCCTACAAGAGCAAGGATCCCCTGTGAAATCGATGGGAGCCGCTTGGGCCCAGCAAAGCGGGGTCACCTGCATGCTGGGAAGCAGGCTGGGAATCTGTATCCATGTTAGAAAACCCCCCTCCCCATACTCTGTTGGACAGAAGCCACCCGAGAAACCCATGTGGAGAGCTGGGGTTCCAAGGCCTTGGCTCAGTCACTCTGTGGCTGCTCTCAGCATTTCTTTGGGTACTTGGAGACAAACCCGTGGAATGGGGTTGGCGCTCACAGACTCTGCTTGCCATCAGATACTTCAGCATAAGCCCATCTCTACTTATAACAAGAAGTCTATAGAGGGAAGGAGCAGCCGTCCTTATCTGTCTAGGAGCTGTTTCAAAGCCCTTTCTATGTTCATTCTGTGCCCAACACGAGTCACCCCCAGATCTATCAGGTCTTCCTTCTGAAGGTTCGGTAAGTGACTGCCATCGATCTCATTGTCCATGAAGGTCTCTTTGTGTTCACCCAAGTTCAGACTTTCCAGCCAATCTGCCACGTCTGGTTTAGTCCATAGGTGGACAGGTTTAGTTGTAAAAGGCTTATTTGAGATTGGCTGTTGGAGTATTGAGGGAGATGGCGACCTGCTGCGGCCTGCTGGGTTCAAGCCAAATAGGTCCCCAACAGGGGGCTGGCCTGGAAGGCTAAAGACATCTGAGAGTGTGGGAGAAGGAGATGCAGCGGCAGCAGACAGAGGGGTGGGCAGAATATCTTTGCTCATCTCTGTTGGTGAGACCACAGGGCTGGGGGCACGTCTTGTTCCTGAGGTCCTACTTTCATAGTCAGGGGGCCGGCTCTGCAGGGTGATGGGCTGGGAGGTGCCAGGGCGGACAGTGAATGTGACCGTCGTGCTCCGTGTACCTGAGACGGTGCTCATGACCTCCGGGCTTCTGAAACAGTAACAACAAAGAAAACTAATCACAAGCCAGGTCACTGAGAAGGGCTGGGGAGGGGCCCAAGCCACACCATAGCATCTAGTAGCAGGTCACTGGCAGTGAGCAAGTGGTTTGCCATGCCAGGATGGGGCGGGAGGAGCAGGAGGCAGAGGCCTCAGGAGACACCACAGCACACCACGCCGGCCACTCACCTGAACCCAGGCTGGAGGAGCTGGAAGGTCTGCCTGTGCTAGGACCTGGGGACTTGGGGTGCCTTACCCAATGAGGGCATCGGGACAGCCAGCCCCTGGGAAAATGAGCTCAGGGACATCTCCCTCCCTGAGTGACTTGCCTTGATTGGGCAGGCAGGTAGGGGAAGCACACTCGCAGAGGGACCCTCTCTGGCTGCTCTTGGCTGCCCGGCCATCCGTGGCTTTTTGGCTCCATAGTTTTAGAACAAGAGCAGGGTAGGACCAGCTATGAGGCACCCAGGGTTGGAGGAAGTTCTCCCCCAACCCAGAGGGCAAGAAGCACTTTGTCACACTGTGTCCGAGCTAACCTCAGGGCAAGGTCTGCTTCCCAAGAGGCCCTGCCTCACTGCGTGAACTGATGCACTGAGGTGTCTCCCACTTTTGTGCAGAGATTCACTAGGAGGAGGTGCCGTCCTTGCTGCAAGCAGAGGCCTGAAGGGAACCCCGGGCCCCATGCCTACCTCCCTCACTACGTGTAGGCAGGCGAAGCTGGTGGGGCTGGGGGAGAGGCTCAGCTCCCCCAAGGGCCCCTTGCACCGGCTCCGGTGGGGATGTACCTGTGGGACACAGGTGACATCTGGGGCTGGAGCAGTCCTGTTCACACTTGCCTACAGGGAGGTGGTTTTTTATAAAATGCCCCTCTCTGGCTTGGGCCTGCCCCTGGCAGGTCACACCTAGGGAGGACAGGCATCTAGCTGTCTGCACCTGGCTCTTGCTCTTCTATCCCCAAGCTGCACCATGGCTGTTCTGCCACCTGCGGCCACAGTGTGTGTTTCCTGCCTCCCAGGCTCACTTACGTGAATGTGTGTGCTCACCCCACCCACTTCTGGAAAGATGAGACCTGCCTGGGCCCTTCGGGATCTGGATGGAGAGACACAAACTAAAGTCCTGGCTCTGCCAAATATCGCCCGAGTGTGGGGAGTCTATGTCTGCCTGCCTGTATGAACTTGGTCTGTCTCCTACCGAGGCAACTGGGGGATGAGGACAATGAGGATCCTCAAGTCCATCTCAGAGCTGCAGAGCCGGGACCGTGGGGGTGGGGCAGCTGCTGCAGTGAGCAACATTCCCCCAAACACTGACAAAGGCACTAGACCATAGAAACCATGTTGTAGCTCCTGCTTTTCTTCAGGGTCTGCCACGTGCTGACAGGTCAGAGCCTACATGGGGCAGAAGTGGGAAGGGGCAGGGGCCATGTAGTCAGTCACCCGGCTGTGGTCTCTGTGCCTTTCCTTGGGCTGCTATGGGTCTGGGTGAAAGTATGGGATTGTCACCCCGTCCTGAGCTCTGCGGCTCTTCTCCACCCGACAGTAGTCATGGTGGGGATATACTTCCCCTGTGGCCCACTCCAGGGGCAGGACAGAGGTGCACACCTGAAAAGGCACTGTGCTGGGGGCTCGAGCCTCAGTTCTGTCTTGAAAGCGGATGGGGGTTGGCAGGGGTACACTATGGACCAGGGATGTCTGGGGAGCCAGAGCGCTCACAGGCCACTTCTGGAGGCTGGAAGCCCTGTGCACAGCCCTGAGTGGAGCCTTTCCCTGGCTCTTTAGGCTTGGGAGCCAGTTGGGCCAATGAGATGGCTATACGGGCAGGGGGGAGGCAGACCCACCAAGGTCAGAGGCAGCTCAGTGCAGGCTGGGGAGCCCGCTGGCTCTGCAGGCCGTAAGGGGCTGCGCCTTGAGACTAGGATTAAGTTCTTGAGAAGAGTTGGCCTGCAGACGTGGTAAGGACCTAAGGGACCTGTCAAGTCCCTCTCTGGTGCTGCTCAGATCTAGGTAGCTGGCTTTAGGTCTAGACTGAGAAGGTGCTGCAGCGAGCTGGCCTGTCTCCGCCCCTGTGCGGTGGCGGATGTGACATCTGTTTGAGGAGCCCGTGGTTGTCACTTTGTAGAACAACTGAACTAAGATGGCTGAAATACCTGTACGTATGAAACAGCTCTGAACAGAGGTGATCGGGGCTGCAGGTCACACTGAGGACTTTTGGAGAAAGCAGACTTTTTTTTTTTTTTTTTTAAGACAGGGTCTCTGTGTTCTTCAGGGTGGCCTTGAACTCACTATGTACCTTGGGCTGGTCTTGAACTCATGGTGATTCTACTGCTTCAGCCTCCCAAGTCCTGGGATGACAGGTATATGCCACCATTCCTGGGGGAATGGATTGCTTTTAAGGTGGGAAAACATCCCCCAAGCACAGTTTGTTCAGGTGAGATGGGGTGGAGTTAGGGTTGCTGTGTGCGTGTTTTCTCTGAAGCTGTCTTGCACAGGGACTTGTCCTGAGACTTTGATACTGGGGCCCTACTGCACCATCCTGTTGGAAGGCCACCTGTTTCCTTATCAGGCTCATGAAACAGAGGCCACTTAATACCTGAATGGGCAGCAGGTACTGTGGCCTGGGCAGTGCTGTGACTACACACTATGTAAAGGACCCAGCTGTGAGTGGCTGGGCCTGTTTTTGGTAAGGAAAGGGCTCTGCAGCCAGCTGTGCACATCAGGAGGCAGAAAGGAAGCTCCTGACACCTGGCTGGGCAGCAGGAGCAGGGGACAGTGGCACACAGGAGACCACGCACCTCTCTGTAGGCGGCACTTACTTCTCTTCAGCACGACCCTCTTCTGTAAACACCCATCATGGAGCAAATGGAAATGACAAATGGAGCGATTGAGACAACACTGCAGAATTCATCAAGAAGAAGAAAAGCAGCCTCCTTAGAGGATGGAAGGAGAGAGAGGTACGGACCGTGGCTGCAGCGCTGCATGAGCCCATCCCTTCCTGACACAGGTTCAGGGCAGGGTGATGCCTAAGCAGCCCATGACTCCAACCGGAAATCAACGTGGGTGTTACTTTCACAGTTGGCAGGGAGCGCTTACAGCTTTACCATCTCTGGCTTGGGACAATGTCAAGCACTTTAAAAAGACGGTAGTGACACCGGAAGAGTATTGGTCCATGCTCCGAAGGAAGACAGCCAGCTTCCTGCTAAATTCCCAGATTGGTTTCTGGGGCTGCGTTTTCCTTCTGCAACTCAGGAAGGATACAGCATCAGTCCTAGGGGGGCAGGCTGTTCCACAGGGTACCAGGGCTTCCCGTCAAGCCTGTGTGAGGAGATGCCAGTTCAGCAGCTGGCTGCACAGCTGTTAGACCTGGTCACATGCTGAGGACCCGCCCAGCACAGCTACAGAAGAGCACAGCCAGAGAGCTGGAGCACAGGGAAGGGCGGGCTGGCCGGCTCGCCCTGTGCCTTCCCGTAGCCTGGTTCCCCTTCGCTTAATCACATTGATATGATTCACTGGATCCTCCCTCATGCACGGATCATTATGTTGCTAAGCAACCACTTGGTTGCTGGGCGGAACATACAGGAATCTATTATCCTGATTTAGAACAGACATACATATGCACACACACACAAACACACACACATACCCTCTCTCAGATGATCACTCTGTAGCCTTTAAAATCAAACCCATGTAGAAAATTTCAGAGAAATCGGCCCCGGAGGGACTCAAGAGCTCTGCACACCCTGCAGTTTCCTCAGGCAGGACAGGTGGTGGTGGCGGTGGTGGTGGTGGCGGCGGCGGGGCTATGCAATCGGCCTTCCCTCTCTTTACAAACTCAGATTGGTTCAGGAGCAATGACGTGAGCCAGGGGCCATTCAGAGATGAGAAGGCCCTGGTGCTCCTTTGGTCCTTCTTGGGCCTGGGCCTTTCAGCCTGGGCTCCTTCCTGTGCTCAGGCACTCCTCTATACTGCAGCCGCCACTGGGCTTTCGTGCCAGCCACATTGTGCACGTATGGACTTCTCAGTTACTCTATTTTTATAGCCTCCCCAAGAAGGGAGACGGAACTGAGAGCGCCCAGTCATTAACATCTGCCCTGGGTCTGCATGCTGGGGCAAGCGTCAGCGCTCTCCTCCTACCCCGCCCTTCTTGCCCTGGCTTAGCAGCTGGGACCCTCTGTGTGCCTCCAGTCTTAGGCTCCACAGTTACACTCAGTTATGAACCCCTGGAGCAGCCTGCTGTCTCGGTCCTCAGGGTGGTCCAGAATAGGGTAGATGAACTAACCAGTGAAAAGGCAGTCTATGGATACTCTGCCCACTTCCTTTATCCAGAAGTGGAGTGACTTGTCCAAAGTCAGACGTGGGAGGGGACTTCTGCTCCCAAGAGACCTGGTCTCCCTGCTAGGGGCTCACGCCTCCGCAGCTAGAGAGGCAGCCGGCTCTCATGGAGAAATGCTCACCCGTGGTTCTTCCCAGGTAGTCTCCCACTTCAAATGTCAAGTCAATGAGATTTGAACCTGCTGTTTGTTGACTAAAGGACGTATTCCTGTCAGGCCAGAGACTCTCCAGTGCCATCCCCAAGAAGTGAAACACCACCAGCAGATCCCAGGGCCTCTCCCTGGTATCACCTGTCACCTTCCCATTGGGTGATCCAGGACATGCCCACTGCCTTGGAGCCGGTGGGTAATGGAAACACCACTAGGCAGCTCTATTGTCCTGGTAGTTCAGGAGTCTGCCCTTAGAATATCTGGGCTGAGATTATATATATATATATATATATATATATATATATATCCCCCACATTGATCCATTCTAACATGAAGAAGTTCTCAGGACAGTATTGTGGGAGCCAGTGGAAAGCTGATGCACAGCACAGAGGCAAATGGGGTGTCGGGGTAGAGCAGCTCGTTGGGTGCAGGCTGTGCACTCTGGGCAGCTAGAAACCTGGCAGCTCTGGGTCCTGCGCTTTCACGCAGTCCTTCCCAGTATAGTCTGAGCCTCAGCCAGGAGACGGCCAGCCCTGAGGCTCTTCGGGACCACCACTGAGGGCTGGCAACCCAGAGGGCACCTTGTAATGTGCTGTTCCCTTTGTTGGAAGCCACGGGGTACCCACAAGCATCCACTCAGTGCTCTGTTCCTCCCACAAACTCAGTGAAAGCAAAGGTGACCTTTTCAGTGGAAATGTTGAAAAACACCAGATTTGCCTAGCTTTAGAAATGCTATCTGGTATTTGTCAGTTATATCTCAGGAAGGCTGGGGAAAGATGATACCTGGATCTCCCAGGTCACAGCCAGCTTGCTTAGGCTCAGCACCTATCAGGCAAGCAGCCTGGGCTGTGGGTGCCTGGACTCCTTGGGCACTTAAGTCTCTCTGGCACCTACCTGCTCATCTCAGGAGCATGGATAATGCCCTGCCCACACAGTATCCTCACTAATCCTTGGGAGGCAAAAGGATGGTCATGCCAAGCCTGAGCCAGCACTCCAAGAGCTGCTATCCCTCCAGATTTGGTGCCATTACCCCATGGCTCCATGGTCCTTGATCCTTATGGCTTGGCCCCACCCTGCCACCTGGCCCAGTCTCCTCAGCATAGAAAGTACCTTTCTGCCTCTGGCTAAGGCATGGGCTCCTGGTTCTCCCCTTAGCAGCCTCTTTTGGGTATTTTAAGTTTTTCCAATATCACTTCTCGGCCTGCCAGCTCTTCTCCTTATCCGATCACTAACCTGTTAGAATATCTTAGTTTCGTGGCAGCATTTGTCACAGTTGGGTTTATCTTATATTCATTGTCCATTTTCCCTTTAGAGAGTTGGCGCTCCTCTTCCCTTGGGGCATCCGGATGTTTCCTTTATCAGTGGTGTCTGGCATATAAAGGGCGGCAGGAACTGTTGAATGGAGACTGATGACCAGATTGGCTGCCCAGCTTTGGAGGGTACTGGCACCCTCCTTAGTGCCTTCGTCTCTGCCACAGGCCTTGTATCAGGTCTGTACAAAGCACCAGCTTGGTGAACACGACCGGTGGACTCAGGAGACCACGGGCTGGGCTGTGGTCCAAGCTTGAGGACTGTGTCCAGCCAGCCTCCCAGGTCTGCAGTTGGGTATTCTGTATGTCCCCAGAGGTAGGACTTTAACCAAAGCACCAAGTGCTCTGCTCCTTGGTCCCCAAAATGGCAAGGATTCCGCTCATGCCTAACACCTCGAAGGTTGTGGAGAAAGGTCAAGTGCTTCGATAGATGACTGAAGGTCTGTGAGAGTAAGCAGCAAAGCACAAGTGAAGGATGCTGGATGCCTGTTGGTGATGTCTTTGCACACACAATTATAGTGTGAGAGCACAAAAGGCTGAGGGTGGGTTGAGAGTCATTCACCGGGCTCTCAGGTCCCGTGGGAAGGGCTGCCAAGCACTAGGCTGTAGGCCAGGGGCCAGCCAGAGCCACTGATGGCTGGGAAGCCTGTGAGTTAGCAACTGCTGCCTTGGTTCTGCCTGAGAGAGCCAGCAACTTCTCCTAGAGACCCACTCGTCCCCATCCTGAAACCACAGCATCCTTGCCTGACTTTGACCTGTTTCAAGATTTTCCAGAGATGAGATTATTTACTGGCATAATCAGGCTGGGTGCCCAGAATGGTCTGGTCATGGCAGGGTTTTTAGGTCAAGCCCCAAGCTGCCTCCAGCACTATGTGTACAAGAAAATTACTGGATTGTCTTCTTTTTGACAACATATATTTAATCAAGATATTTCCAAATCTCACCACATCTTTGATTTTGCGGAGCAGCTCTAAGAGGCGAGAACTCAGATCAAATGTACCAAAGAAAGCAGGGATTTAGGAATTAACTTTCTCCTTAAAAGAATGTAAGAGTGAAAGGTGCCCTAAAGCACTGGTGAGCCACAACCAGCCCTCAGCATTGACAGCACAGGAGGGTTCTCCATTATTGCTCTAAAGGGTCAAGCTCAGCCCAGGCTCATCTATGGCATGTGTGCCATAGCAGGGTGTTTGTTATTTTTGAAAGTTCTGAAAGTACCCCAGTCCTCCCCGCCTGGTCCCCATCACTGTGGTGAATGACAGAGGATCAGCTTTGAAAATCATCCCCTTCTATGGAAATGGGGATTTCTGCACCACCACTTGTCTGTCATCTCAGAAAGTACGGTTTTCAATTTTCCCTAGAAAAACTTCTTTTTCCTTGGTAGGAATCCCCACCATCCAATTTCGAGCCTCAGTTTGTGCAGGGCACTTCACAACTCTGAATTTCTGGTTGCATTTGAAGAGACACCCAGGCTGGGAGTGCGATCCCAAGCCAGTTAGGATGGCAGCAAGAGAAGCTTTCTCCAAGACCTTTGTGAGCAAGGAGAGTGCTGCCTGCTGTTGTTCTACACGGGCATCGGGGCACGACGGGCCCCCCGGCGGCGCTGTGGGCTGCCATCCCAACCCTGCCAGGCCCTGTGTGTTTCCTGGCTTCAGTTCACATTCCCGAAGGCTGTGCCCCACCTCTGCCATGAGCCTACCCTTGCGGATAGTCGTCACATAGCCAGCCTTTCCTTCCAAGGTAATCCCTGGCTCCAGCCAGAGGACAGGAGTCAAGCTCTGAGCCAGGCTCCCAGGTGGGTGGTGCAGGCCGATGCCTTCTGGCTCAGGAGCACCGTCTCCTCTGCCTCACTGCTCTGACCTTGAATTTCCTTAACTGTGCAGTGGGAGCAATTACAGGCCCTGCCGGTGGCACAGGTGGGAACTGATGCCCAAGTGGCATGTGTTCGGTAGGTGCTGCGATCGTTCTTCTTGTGACTACACTGGGAGATGGCCATTCTTGGCCACGGAGCATGGGGTGAGGCTGACCACATCGCGGCTGTCTCAGGGAAGTCCCCCAGAATCCTGCCAGCTAATGGCTGTTGGAGGCTCCTCCCTGCCTGTGTCTACCTAGAGAAATGCCAGGGCCGGGCGGCCCCAGAGACACGTGCAAGGTGGGCTGTCATTCTGCTCTGAGCAGCCCAAAAGTGACTGATAGCAGGCTATTGGGCTGCTCCTCAGGTTGGCCCTGGGGGAGGAGGCACCTGGGCTTGCTGAGTAGATGTCCCCAGTGAGTTCTTTTTCTTTTGTTTGGTACCGGGGATTAAACTTGGGACCTTGCACTTGCCAGGGAGATACTTAGGCCGCTGGGCTGTATCCTCCCCAGCCCTTATAAATTCTTTTCTTTAGGACTGGAGTTGTTCTCTCTCAGCTCCTTCTGCCCCACAGATGACACTAATAAAGGGAGGCAAGGATGTGGAAGCATAGGCCTGAGTCCTGTCTCTGGTGGCTGCTGGGCTAGCTCATGGGAGAGCCACCAAGTCACTCTAGAACGTTCAGGCTCCTGAACTCAGCCCATAAACTCCAACCCCAGGGGAAAGTGTGAAACCCTCAGAGGAGGCTTTACCTATGATTTCCACATATGCAGGGACGGTGTAAAGAACTATATCATTACCTAATGGAGAGAGGCAGAATGACTTGTTTTTAGCTTTCCCTGAGACTTTTAAGTATATAATAAATGCCAATGTGTATGTATAGATGCACCCACCAGAAACACGGAGTTTCTAAAGCATTTCTCTCAGCCAGTAGAGGAACATGCTGGGCACGCAAGGAATTTCTCTCCACTCAGAGGTCTTATTGGATCATTGGTAGTTGGGGAGCCCTGTTAATAGACGTGGTATCAACGTGCATCTCTACCACACAGCCAGTTGGTAATTCCTCCAAAGAGTAATGGGCGCCATTCAAGTGATTTATTTACATCCTCCCTGAAAGGTAACTGGGAAAATTGTGGCTCTCAGCCCACACCTCAAGACCCAACTGCAGTGCGATATCATTGATTAATGGACTTTGTTGTTGGAATCAGATGTCTGCCCAGCGGGAGCACGAGGAAAGACTTCATTAGTCAGAACGATGAAACCTGAGACCAAACAGCAGCGGGAAAACCTGAGGCGCATCCTGCCCGGGAAGTGCGTGATAGCACGTGATGTGGAAGAGAGAGAAGGGAGAGCCAGCGTGCGTGGGGGAGGGGGGCCTGGGGCTGTGCTGGGCATCATCCAGGGGCGAGGGCCATTCTAGAGTCTGGCACGTGTATACAGAGGTGGCTTTTGGGGGGCTAGAAATGATGCCTTATCCACCCTCCTTCAGTCCCAGTGGGAATAACTTAAACCCCCGGGGTGCTGTGAATAAGGTTGGCTTTGACAACCAGGGGTTTTTCCTCCGTGATGTCTACTTTAGGGTAGGATGGGCTGGGAGAAAGGCATGTGCTTCCCTCCAAATTGACCAAGAAAGCTGGGGCTCAGGGTATCCCCAGCGCTCAGGCCCTACCCAGGCTAATGGCGTCGGGGGAACCCAGCCACACCCCTCACCCTATCATACACCCCCACCCCCACAGCATGGCTGATCTCCTCAGAGTGTGGTTTGGGCTTTGGTGAGGTTCAACCCAGCCTCCATGTGGTCGTGGCAAAGGTCTGAGAGTGCCGAGAGCCGAGCCTCCCTGACAGTTGTGGGGATGGCGGTGTGTGACCTTTTACTGCGCATCTTAGGGAGGGAGCAACACGTCTTGCCAGGACTGCCTTGACTCTGATGTCCTGCTGTTCGGGATGACACAGGAAGCAGGGTCATACCTGACTGGTGTTACGGACCCCCAGAGACAGCTGCTTGATTATTCCCCAGTGGCCTTTCCTTTGGTCAGCATGGCCAAGCCAACTGCAGACTTACCTGGGAGGGAGGCTGGTAGACTTGGCTCCCGCCGGTGAATCCAGTCCTTCCCCTGGCTTTGCTGATTTCTCTCGGTTCATTTGTTGTAGGATTGAGTTCAATTCACTAATGACATTTGCTTTTGGGCCGGAGAGAATCGGGCTTTTGACCTCCGTGATATCACCCCACAACTTGGAAGTCCTTGGCTGGATGCCCTTGGCCATCCCGGGCTGGGTACCGCCTGGTGGGGGTGGGGGCGCAGGTGGGGGAATGACAAAGCTGTCTACCACATCCTCTTCTAGGAGTGCATCTTGATAAAGTGCGTTGCTTTTATGAATTATGGGCTTCATTTTTGGCTTCGGAGGTACGGGGGGCTTGTCGACCACAAACGCCTGCCCGTCTGCATAGACCGTGCAGGTGTCCACGCTCTCCCCGCCTTCAGAGGACAGGGTAGAGATGCTGGACACGGTGGAGATGGTGCTGGTGGTCTCGAGATGGTGGTCACTGCTGCTCCGGCTGTCCACCTCCTCGATCCCGGAGTCAGTGACTGTGTCAAAGCTCTCGGGGGGTGGCAGGAACGAGGTGGGCAGACAGTTTGAGAGGCTGGCTGGCTTCTTGCTATCTGTGGAGCTGGCTGGCTGGCCAGAGTTCCACGAAGGGGAGGGGGGTGTGTCACTTTTCTTCTGCTTTGCCAAGTCAGTGAGAGTGGGAACAGAAGCAGCGCGGTCATCGGGGATATCAAAACTATTTGCAAATTCCAGGGGAGGAGGCAACGGCTCTGTAAAAATAAAATCCTCATCCAAGTCCACGGATGCCAGAGGGGGAGGAGGGATGCGGAATGGCAGAGCCACCGCCTCTTCCATGGAGCCTGCCGCCACAATGGTCCTGCCAGGAGTGGCGGTGGGCTCGGGGGCAGCGGAGATCTGTAAAGCACCTTCGGTTTCGGAAACGCCTTCTGGCACTGTGGAGGGCAAGTGGTCTGGCTTCATGTCCACGTCCTCTCTTTCCTCTTCCTCTTCCAGGGGCCCGCCTGTCTTGGTGGCGTCCACGGTATGCACCATCAGCAGGCCGGCTGACTTTTGCTGCGCCGTGTCCATGATGTTGATCAGCATGTTCTTCTTGTCCTCACCTCTCCGGTCCTTGCTTAGGTCCAGCTCGTACTTGTTTTCTGTCTCCTGCCGCCGCAAGGGCCCGCGGGTATTCTGCCTGGTGACTGGAGGGAAGCCAGCTTCCACGCTGGGCCGCATTTTGGTATCGATGTAGAGAGGTTTGTTGAGGTCAGCCTTGGGGGCTTCCCCCTTGGGCCCTTGCTGGGACTCCTTCATGGCTCGGTCCCTTGCAGACAGCGCCAGCGCCAGCGGGGAGCTGGGATCAAGCAGCCGTCCAGTGAGCGGATGGACATAATTCTCAGGGCTGGCTGTGCTGCTGCTCTTGGGGGGTGCTGCTGGGCTGCCCTCAGGCCCCTTGGCTTTGGATGCAGAATTCAGGGGCCTCCCAGCCTCTCCCTGAGCAGTAGCCTCACCACCGCCCATGAAGTGGTTTTCTGGCTCCCTTGACGCTGCTCCTGGTGTGGGTGACGCCAGCTGCTCCGAGTCATCCTCATCGCCAAACCCACCCTCCTCAGGGAACTTGGAGGGCCGTACCCGGGGCACGGGCGGGCCCAGACCCACATCCTCATCCCCTAGGTCGGTGGAGAGGAAGGCTGGGGAGTTCCTCCTGGCTTCTAGCCGCTTCTCCCGGTCACGGACAGCCCCGGCAATGGCAGCGGCAAAGGGGCTGCTGACGGTCAAGCTGTCATCAGGCCGCAGCTGGCCCGGTGGCTCTGTGGCCTGGGGGTCAATTTCCATGCTGCTGCCTTGGCTGCTCTTGCCGCTGCTGCTGGTAGAGGGCTCCTTGACGATGATGGTAGGGATGGGGATGGAGCACGTCTTCTCGGGGCTGTCCTCCACGTTGGACTGCTTCACCAGCATGCCCTTCCGCCTGGCAGGCTTGGCGGGCACGTAGACTGCCTTGCTTGCGATCTTCCCTACCTCTGAGTATGGGTTCTCAGGCATCTGGCCCCGCTTGGTGCGGAAGGTGGCCTGGGGAGCGGCATTCCGACTGTAGAGGTCTTCAGAGTCCAGGGAGTAGCGGTCCAGCTCTCTCCTGTAGAACATCCCCTTTTCCCTCATCATGGTGGCCACTGTGTCGGACCTAGTGGCAGGAGACACCTTGGCAGCGGAATTCGGATTGAACGCGGGCTTAATCGTCCCATAGACTCTTGGAGTCGGGGACTTGGGGCAGTTGTAGGTGGTGGGGGAAGGTGGTGGTGGAGATGGGGGCACGGACTGTGGTGGAGGGGGGATATCCTCAGAGGTGTCTGGCATGGACAGGCTTCTGGTGAATTTTAGCATCGGAGGAGCCAGAAATTGTCGTTCTTCTTCTGTTATTCCTACAAGTAAAAAACAGGTTTAGTTTTAAATCACAACAATAAGCAAAAATCCTACTAAAGTTCTTAGGATTATGCAATCGGTTACATCGCTACAAACTTAGACACTTGTTATGACACACAGCACAAGCCACGATGCTGAGAGGTTAGTTCTATGGCCCACTTCAAGCCCACGAACAAGAAGAAAGAAAACAGGTACATACAGGGGGTGCAGTGAGCCGTTCTCTAGGACATGTGGTGCCCACATGTGGTGCCACAAGGTCAGGGCAGTGAAGGTCTGAGGCCAGGCTGTGTGCCACTCTTTAGGCAGAACCCCAGCTGCCAAGGTTCCTCGTGGCCAAATGGGCACATGTGTATGTGTATGTTGGCATGGGTGCTGCCTCATGCGGGATGAGCTAGCTAGCCCCAGAGCCTTTCTTCCTTGCCCCTTTCAGGCTTGACGAGTGTTCCTGGAGGCCTGAGGTAATCGCTTGCTCTCTGGAGGGCACAAGGTGCTTGCTCACATGATACACCGAGCCAGAACGGTGTTGTTGTCAGGTAGCTTCTGAGTAGTGATGTCCCCGCCCACGTGTGCAGGCAGACATGCCACCCCTCAGCAGCGTGTCTGCCTGTTGGCGTCCTGTGTGTGCTGAGAAGAGCCACTGTCACCTGGCTCATCTGGGCCTCATGGAGGGCTTCGTGTACAATGGAGTCTCTGGGCCCTCACCAGGACGGCTGTGAGGTGGCCGGCTTGGGGGAAAGGGCCATTTTGCTTCTGGGACATGCTGCGTTCATGAGGGGAATGAGCCTTGATCCCTCTAACTAATGACTTCATTCAGCCCACACGGGAGCGGGACGCTAAGCAACGCTTCCCAGAGCACCTGGGGAGCTCCATGCTAGTCCAGACTGGACCCTCCAGAGCTGGGCGGAGGGGGATGGCAGACCACTGTGGTCAGCCGGGACCCAAGTCCAGCTGACCTGGCACAGATCACAGCCACGTTCTGAGACGTGACTCAGGGGAGTACATGGGTACTGAAGGTGGCTGAGGCTGTAGTGCACCCTGGACGTTCTCTGAGTGTGCTGACTGGTGTGACTACAGACTGCGCAGCACTCTAAGACGTGAACACACGGACAGAAGCAACACACAGTGACACCACGGACCAGGGTTTGGTAGGAGGCATGCAGGAGTTTAGAGGCAACAAAACGAATTATTGAAATTAAAAATATTTCCTAAGACACACTACAATCATCATTTATTCCAATGAAAACTTCCATTTGATAAGGGTATTCCAAATTTAACATACTCCTTGTGGGAGGATAATTTGGTCTTGCCACAATCGGGTTGCTAAAGGCAGCTGCATTGACCATTTGCTATGTGTTGGTTGCCTGACATTTAAGTTCCCAAGGAGTAATAATTTAAGAATACACCTTATACAGTAAACTGGGGCACATTCAAGGTACAGATTCCAAACTGGAGGTGTTCACTAACCTGATAGAAAGATTCTGCTGTCTGACAGGAGGAAATCAATTGTTATTAACCAGTAAGGATGTAGTCATACAACATGGTGTGCATGCAGCTTCGCCAGAGGCCCGTAGCACGCGGGGAGTGGGTAAGCGTGACGAGCAGCAGACAGCACCACGGTCACCTAATGCTCAATTGCTGCTTACTGTCCTCCTCCTCAAACCAGAACAAACGAGTCCTGACTCTAGCAGCATCGCCAGGAGTTGGCTCCAGACACACAGAACCCTGACCCTGGGCAGGCTGGGCGAGGCTGGAGGGCGGGGCAGCAGCTGCACACGGTTCAATTTATATAGCAAGGGTTCACCATGTCTGTCAAGGGCCTTGGCTTCTAGACTTTACATGAGAAGGGCAATGCTGGCTTCACTCCCAAAGGAACTGTCTGAAGGGGTCCACTTTACTTAGGCCTGTCACAGAGTCTGTGGGAATGACTGGCATGTTACAAGGAAGGAAAACCACTTTCTACAACACAGAATATGCTGTTTCATTAGAGTTCAAGAACCTGACCTAGCCACCCGGAGCAGTATGTCCGTTGAGCTCAGCCTACGATTTTAGGACCATAGGGAGTCCACTCACCCTGTCCACCCCATCTTCCCCTCACTGTCCTTCTTGGCATACGGCCCCCTTCACCACACTGGCATTGTCCCAAATAAACTGGCTTCAGAATTAGAGAACCCACACTGGCTTTGGTGTCCATTGGCGTGGAAAGGTTCATTCCCTCCTGTGTTCAAATGGCTACCCAGCAGGCAGGCCCAGCTGCTTTTGGGTGGATAGGCCTCCTAGAGATTGTTAGGGCAGGGATGCCAGGGCAACCTGGGGGAACCAGAGGCCGGAACTCCCTAGGGGCTCTGAGGGCTGCATGTGAAAGCCAAGGGGCAGCTTCTTTGGGTGAAAGTCACGCTTCTTACCTATCGATTTCTGCCTTCGCATCGTACCTCGAGGGAGGCCCAGAAATGGGCCTTTTGGGCTCCCAGGAACAGTGGGTGTCATCACAGCGATCCCTTGGCGTTCATACACGGACTGCAAACCCAAAAGCCGGGGTGAGACATGGCCCTGGCCAGCCCACTCCCATGGTCATGGCTAGAGGGCAGCAAGGGAGCTCTGGACACCGCAGGTGCTGGTCCCTGGCTTCCCCAGGAACAATGCAAAGTGTGTGGCGGCTCCTCACAGCCAGCACTGTGAGCCCACAAAGAGCCCTTCCTGAGCCTCTCCCCTTAGCATGGATAGGGTGCGGTGCCAACAGGCCTTGCTCAGAGAGGAGCTGTGGTCACTGTGACCTCAGTCATCAGACTAACCACACGGCCATATCTGAGAGAACAGAGCTGGGATGGATGTCCTGTGGGATACAGCCTGGAGCCCATAGCCTGGCTTTCCAAATGCCCTCTGATCTTGGCTGAGTCCTCCAGCCAGAGCCCTTGTTTTTCTCCTCTGTAAAAAAGACCAGTATGTCCCATAGTATGTGCGAAGGTGACCAGGTCCCCCATGCTGTGTGGCTTGTGAGTTGTGCTGGCCAGCTTGAGTGAGCTGTGGGATTTTTCTGGACTGCAGCACTGATTCCATGGGAGGAAGCTGCTCCTGATCCTATCTCCTTCCTTGTGTCTGCTCTAGGAAGGGCGGAGAGTTTTGCAGTCCATCTTGAAGGTAGACTCCCTGCATACCTCAGCCTGTCCCCTCAGCCCTTCCGTAGGTGCTGCTCTGTCTGCACAACTAAAACTTCTGGACAACCATTGCTCTGCCACCTGCAGGGTACCTCAGGAAAATCGAGAGCCAGACCCTCACTGGAAACATATTTGTGTTGACAGTTTTATGAGCCTGGTATGGAGGTAGTCCTGCCCGGCCACCGTAGTGTCTGTCATCTCACCCCGTACCCCTGAGTCGGAGACAGGAAGCCAGAACTCCATCCTTGGGAGGTTATGGATACCTGTCTCACAGGGCCAATCAGGGGTTGGAGACTATGTAGGACTCAGTGGGGCATGTGTGGGTATGTCAAGGAATAGAGGTGCAACCTCTGAAGTTCTGGAGGTGAGGGGGTGAAGACTGAACACTTGGATTTAGATTGGGAGCGCTGTACAGGTCCCTGACCTGAGCCCAGTCTCAGTGTTTTTTTTTTTTTTTTTTTTTTAAGTATTTGGTACAGGGTCTCACTACACAGCTTGGACTCATAGTGATCCTCCTATTTTCAGCCTCCCCAGTGCTGGGATTATAGGCATGTGCCACCACACTGGGTCTCGGTGGCTGGTTCAGCACAGCTGGGGGTGGGGCTGGCATAGCACGTGGTGCTGAGGAGCAAACCTTGGTCTCTGCGCTTGCCTAAGCAGGTGCTTAGTCCGCCGAGCTATCCTGCTGGCCCTCAGTCTTGGTTAGAAGTTTGGCTTCAGTGTTTCCATGGGGGCTCTGCTTGCAGAGGACCACTGCCTGCCTGCCCTGCTGGCCAGATGGCCTCTTTTATCTCTGAGTAATGATGAGCCCAGATCCCTGTCTGAGATCTCCTCCCAAGGTCCTCTATGTTCACGGCTCACAGAACCTCAGCTGAGCATGTGGAGGGACACCCTCAAGGCTCCGGGTGCTGAGTAGTGAAGCTGAGAGTGGGCTCCAGCCTGCCTGTGCCCACGCTGCAGGTCTGCATTGGACTAGGTAGGGTATTCATCCTTGAGCCCTTGCATCTGGCTCTGAGCATGCATACCGAGGGGGCGTGTGCCTCCATTCTGAGCTAGCCCTCTGTACCCATGCTGAGCCCTATTTGACTGCTTCCCAGTCTATCCCAGACCCTGAGCCCACAGACCAGGGACACAGCTACTCACATTCATATCTGAGACCGCTGGAAAACACCGGCTGGTAGGCCGCTGCTTGATGGTTGCCACCCTTGACTCCACAGCCACATTCTCAGCAGTCCGGGAAGGTTTTGGGGCCGGAACTATTTCTTCTGGTTTATCTGCAACATAACCGTGGGGGATTAGAATGGCCGTAGCACAATCAGGAGGGTGAGTGTAGTTGGCAGAGTGCGGATGTATGGCGACTGCTCCCATGCCTCAAATTGCAGGTAGGCCCGTCACGAGAGAGGCATGCACGCATCTCCCTGTCACATGCATTCCTGCCAGAGCACCTTTACTCTCCCAGACCGCTAGCCCCAGGGTGACCTGGACGTCGATGGCCTAGAAGACTCCAAAACTTGGCCTCCTCCATGGGCAGCACTGTGTCCCCAGGACCCTGGAGCTCTGTGTCATCTTTCTTCAGAGACTAACTTTATTCTCTCTAGTGGAATTGATCCTTTTCAGCATTAACTTTTGGAACTTTTGAAAGTGACTTCGAATCATGGTTACCTTTTGTAACTGAATGAAGTTTCCAAGACAGAGACTGTGCCCGAAGCTGGGGCTTTGATAGTGTGTACTGAAGAACAAAGGGCTGGTGCAGAGGCCCCGGATGTGTTAGCGCAGGTTGCTAAGGAAGTTCCTGTTTATTCCCCCCACGGTGGAATGGCACATTTTTTGTTTGCTTGTTTTGAAAAAGAAAGCCAAAGGTTTAAGGAACCCTTAGAAATTAGAAATGTGTTAAAGAGAACATTTAAAACAGAACTTGTTTTAGTTTGAAAATGGAAATGCATCCTGGAACTGGCCTGATGCCTGGCCCTGTTTCTGGGAGATCTGAGGTCAGATAAAAGGGCCCTTCTCAGGCTATCGGAGCACAGGGACCCTGTTCATGGAGCTATACAGAGTGCCCTGGCCCTGCCCTCGCACTTGGGAAGAGCCCTAGCTGAGCCTACCTGTGCTCCTCATGAGCACTCTGGCTAGGCTGGGGCAGGGGCAGGGGCAGAGGCAGGAGCAGCGGGCCATTGGGAACGTTCTGACTATGAGCCTGAGACCTCTCAGCACCTCCAGGTTGTTGCTGAGGTCTGGTGGCTCGCTGTGGAGTGAGTGTCAGGTGAGAAGGCCACGCCTCCAAGTTGTTTCTCCAGAGAATACTATGACTGCTGTGCTGCAAAGGCGGTTTCTGAGGACGGGCTGATGCACTGGCAGAACTCCCTGGAGCTGCAGCACTGGTCAAAGAAGCCCAGGTGGAAAGAAAGGGCCAGCGTTTGAGAAGACAGGCCAGACCCAACAACTACACACGCACGCACGTATGCACGCAAGCACGCACGCACGCACGCACTTGCTCAAAAGGGAAGGGAAGGGAGCGTTTCAGGGTGGGGACTGGCTGGCACATGTCATGATCTCTTGACCTCCACAGCAGCTGATGCCCTCCTGACCTGGTAGAAGACGGCTAATTCCAGACACGGTGCCAGAACCCACGGGTCCGTGAGCAACGCTGCAAGCCCAATCCCGACCTCACCGGCTCTCATGGGTCCTTAGCCTCAGAGCAGGTTTCAGATGTGTAATGATGTGAAAAGAAGAAGGATGTGCGAGCGACCATGTGGCCTGCAGAGCCCGCGTGGTCACTGACCCAGTAGGGGAAGTCTTGCTACCCTGGTCTGCATGCGCCATGGTCCCAGTTTACTAGCTAGTAGGATGCTATATAAATCATGCAGGGCGAGAACTTTAACTCTTTCTCTACTAGCCCCGCCCCAGTGAGACCGGCAGGTGCTCTCCGGTCCTGCTGCCTTCACTCTCGTCCAGCTCACGGTTTGTGCAGGCTCCCCCAGCCTCTCTGCGCCTGCCTCCCACAGCATCCTCTCTGGTTCTTTGGGAAACATAGATTTCCCCTTATTTATGGTGAACACTTGCCCCTCTGGGACTGCCCAGGTATAGTAAGACAACCTGTTGCTGTTGGCAATGGGAAGCCTACACCAGTGCCCATGGCCCTTATCCTCATCCTCCAGGCTCCATCTCTCCTTGCCAGAGCATCTACTGCCTGACTTTTCTTCCTCCCTGTGCCATGTCACCTGTGCCCACATACTGCCATCTCAGCCATCTGCTTCCTCTGAGAAACCCTTTCCTTTGCAAGTCTGCGCTGGGATTTAGACATATATCCTCTGATGACATAGGTTTCTTCTGCCACCACGATGCCTGTTTGCTGGATCTCACTCCCTTTTGATTTAGGTTCTGGTGCTGTATGGATCCAGCTCTGATGAGCCAGGCCTGGGCACATAGGTCCTACTCGGTCTGGTCCTAGAATATAGGCTCCTTGGCACTAGCTTTTTGGCTCAGCGATGATATGGCTATTTGACAGGGGCCAAGGTCATTCTAGGATTAGGATGTGTATCCCACCACTGCAATGAGACCCAGGACAGAACCTCATCCAGTGCTGAGCGCCCCTAGCTTTTTCTTATTGTATTGGCCCTGACCCTTCTTCTGCCTCCTGTGAGGGCAAGGCTGGGGGAAGCCAGAAAACTAAGCCCCTAACATGAACCCAGATGGCATGTGCCAAGATAGGGGAGGAGGAGCTCGATCCCCACAAGACACTGTGGGGCCTTCTGGGTGGAGGGCTCTGGGGCAGCTGAAGAACCTAGCCGCCTCTGTCTGCATACTTGGTGCAGAGCCCAGGGCCCAGGTCTGCATGTGCTGGATGTGGCTTGGCTGGGACCTGTTGATTTGAGACCTGGGAGAGGTCCAGGTAGCGCCCGGCCTCTGGGCTGGTTGAGTTCAGTGGCTGAAGGAGGCAGGGGGAGCTGGATGCTCAGGCAAGGGCAGGTTTTAAGCCTCAAGCACCAGTGGAGGTGACAGATGAAAGCTGCAGAGGGCGATAGCCCTATTGGGAAGGCTATATTGGGAAGGCCCTGGGTGTGGAGCCTGCTGGCCAGGGCTTTCTGTATGGGGGATGTGTCTAGCACACTGTGGGTGAGGGGCACGACAGGAGCAACTCTTGTATGGCTGAGTTGAGGTGCTCAGTCTTGGAGAAGTTCTAAGTCTGCACTGAGGCCTTCCAAGAGCTCGGGATTAAGCTCGGAAGCTGATAGGATGGGCCCCTGCCCACTCACATACAGCTCTGGAGGCATATGGCCTAGAATCCTGGGGCACCATCTGGACTCTCCACGTGCCCTAAAGGAGCAGGATCTGATCTGAGGGTCATAAGGCCTGTGGCAGGCACCCCTAAAACATGCCCAAAGAATGGGCGTGCCTAGGGTGAGTCCAAAATGCCACAGTTGGTAGCAGCAGTCCTTGAATCTTGTAGGCACCCTGCTTTTCATCCCATTTCTCTTCATAGATCCTGGGTATAAAGGGAGGGCAGAAGGAGGGGGTTCCACTTCTTAGGGAAAACGGAGAGCCAGAGCTGCTTCAGGCCATGCGGATGAGGACCCTGGGACCAGGCAGTAGCTTGAGCTCAAGTGAAGTTCACCTGGCCCAGCCTGCTGTCCAGATGGGGGCCTAACTCTGTTGGGCCATGACAGCAGAACACTTAACTGAGAGTCTCTAGGGTTACCATCAGAATGATGGGTGTTGCTTGGAAAACACTGGAAGGGCTGACGACATCAGGGCATCATCCTCCCCCTAGGGCAGGATGGCTGGCATGACCATGTCATGATGGCACGAGAGGCACATCGTTTGGAACCAGGGCCGCCTTGATTGCGGACCATCCTGGTCCTTGTTTAAACGCTGTACCTTGTTTAAACGCTGTACCCCCAACCCATAGAGCCAGAGAGCAACCTGGTGCATGGAGGAGGTAAGGCCGGGGTTATTGTTCCTTTGACAGAGTTTGTATTGGTAGTGTGATTTAAATGACCACAGGGACACCCCATCCCCTGATTCGCCGACCAATGGGAGCTGGTGGCCTGACCATTCAGCCCCCCATCTGTGAAATCTTGTTTCCTGGAACATGAAGACCTTTAAGAAAAGCATGAGACTGCAAATTCCTGTTTCACTTTTTGCGCTAGCTGGCTCGTGAGGATTAGGCTTGATTTACAAAAGCTTGGAACTGGCTATCTATTCAGGACTGGATGAAGAGGATTATTGAGTCCAGCCCCCAGCAGTGGAAAAATGAAGTAGTTGGTGAATGAAAACAATCCTGCAGACAGATTTGAAAACTGTCAAATCTTAAGAAAAACAACTGGCTAATGAGGTAATGAACGCTCCAGCAGTGACCTGTGCTTTAATTCTCTAAGCAAACTTAGGATCTCCTTAGAAGACAGATGTGTTGCTGACGGGCCATGAACTGTAAACTTCTGGGTGCAAGAATGAGCAGCTTGGGAGGGGGATGGCATTTGTCAGGCTGATTGAGGTGTCGTGGCTGGCCACATTTCTCAGGGAGGAAGCATCCCCTGTCCTGCCTGTCAACCAAGTTTCCCAGCCAGGCCAAGTGAACTTCATGAGTCGTCAGAGGGAGCATAACCCCCTTACGGTGGAGGCAATCTGCCGCTGTTTTGGGTTCACTGAGCTAGATGTTGTAGGCTCTGTGGGACAGAATCCACAAATTCTGGGGAGAAGTAGCAGTGACCACCACAGCAAGGAGAGAGGCAGGAAACCACAGGCTCCTGTGGCCTGAGGGGGAACCTGCTGGCCAGGCCTTCTGATTTCCCAGGTGGCTAAGGAGAGCCTCACAAAAGTGACTCCAGCTTGTGTCCCACAGCGGTGTGTACAGCGGTCACTGCTTTCACCTCGCGTGCACCTGAGTCACTGGTGCCACCCCCTGTGCAGGGCAGAAGGCCACACCCAGCTCAGGGTGAGGGCGCAGTGCAGGCTTCCTTGGTGGCACTGCTTCTAGGATGTAGACAAACACCATAGTGCCACACAAGATGCCCCTGGACTGCTCTCAGAGGCAGTGAAGAGCTGGAGAGGTGCTCTGGGCCCCGGAGGGCCTGTGGGATCCAAAAAGCCACCCATCTTCCCAGGAGTAGGGTCTGTGGGTGCAGGCAGAGGTGCTCATTAGCCTTGGAAGCCAGGGTTCCCTTTCCAGCTGTGTCCCCTCCTCCTGTCAGCTCTACTCTGCTTCCACCAGAGTCACCCTCAGTGACTCTGTGTCCAGGGCTCAGGTGGCAGCCATATTTGCCTGTGTGCAGCATGACATCTGGGGAGTAGGGAAGGTCCTCTGTGAAAAGTTGGAATGAGCAAGCACGGCGCATGCCTTGCTGGGGAGAGCTGGGATTTGAGGCTACTCCACTTTTGTGGGGGCTCTTAACACTGCAGAAACAAGCTACAATCAAGGAGGCCCCAGAGGACATACATTATCTTTTTGGGTTTGGAGGCTGAAAGTCTGTGGTCAAGGCGTGAGGTAGGACATGAGGTGACAGGACATACAGGTTAGCCTGGTCCTCCCGAGGAGGTGGAGCCTTCCATATGCACCTGCTGTGAGGCATGGTCCCGGGCACACAGGTGGGAGCCAAGGCTTCAAGCTGGCAGGGGCCATGGCACAGGGGCCCACACAATGCCCCAAGGAAGGCTGTGGGTGTTCCTTAGTTTGCTTGACTCTAGCTGGGTTCCCCACGGAGCTGGGCTGGACCATAGTGGCTGGGCCCTTTGGGCTCTTCTTGCCCACACTCTTATTTCCTGTTCTACCCTAGTGGTGGGGTGAGGGGGAGTTTTATCTGCAGATGGTTTTCTTTGATGTTCAAACAGACGGAGGCTTTCCACTGTCCAGGGCTCCTGCCTGTCCTCAGTGCGGATGGTTGTGCGGGCCATGACTGCTGTCCTGTGTGTGGATCAGCCAGCATAGTCCACAGGAGTCACTGACTGAGGCTTTGCTGCCCTGGATCTTAAACCCTTCTTGACAGTGGTTTGTTCTTGGCCAACTATGTGATGCCTGGGTCCCTGGGAACCCACAGCGCTGTTCCATCTTCAGCAGGGCAAGGGGTTGCTATAGACGAGTAACCCCAGGACCCTCAAGAATCCACCTTGACCTCAACACAGAGAAGACCCTAGAAAGTGTGCTTAGACCATCTTGGACAGCGTGGTATGGTATGAAGGCCCAGGTTGCTGCAGGAAGACTGCTAGCATTGAGGGGTCAAAGAGGAGAGGAGGGCCATCGAGGCTCTGCCTCCTGCTTTAGGAAGCCCTGTCCTTCCCTGATGTTGGCCTCTTGGTCTCCAGTACCCACAAGCCCCTAATTTCAGGGACCTTCCAATCACCGCTACATCTGTGGCTTGCCTTGGCCATGGTGCCTTCAGCCCAAGGAAAAGGTGGTTTTGTTGACAACGCTTCTTACAATTGTGCTGAGGAAAGTCTCAGTGTACTGGAAAGGGCTTTCTTAACTATCTCCAGCAGTCAGGTGAGAAACATCTAAGATGTGGCTACAGCTGCAGAGGGAAAGGGCTGTGTTCTCAGGGGACACAGAGGGAAAGGGCTGTGTTCTCAGTGGGCCTTGTGTCGTGGCTGCTCAGGGTCACACCATTGTGCCTGCCCGCCTCACAACTCGGTGGGTCTGAAGGCCCTAGCTCCCTCTGCCACCAGCACAAGGGAAACTGAAAGTGTGAAAAAGGGGCAGTGTTTGGTCACTGCAAAGGGAATGTTGGGTCAAGAGCAGCCGGGGGCGCCTGTGCCTGTACCCCTGTCTGGAAGCCCTTGCGGCCTCCTGGGAGTGCCAAGGCCTCTTCCTAGACATGGCAGGTCCAGCTGAGACCACAAAGGGCTTACAAGGGCTTCACGGTCATGGTGACATGGACACGGCTCAAGGGGAAATATGGAACACGCCAGGGGAGTCACAGACAGAAGTCAAGCAGACCAACAGACCAAAATGGGACATGTTCCAGGGCTGGGGCTCTTAGGCAAGACCCCCAAACAGGGAGAAGACACAAGGTTCATGGTACATTCTAGACTTCACTTGACGGTCACAAGAGGGATCTCTCTTCTACTGGGGAGTGATGTGCAGGAGGACTGGAGACAGACACTTGGGCTTCCCTTACCCTTCTTCTTCCGGACTGCAGCTTGTAAACAGAAAGGGAAGTGCTGTGAGCCACTGGACAGCAGCCTGCAGCCTACACTTGCCCAGCTCAGGGTGGCCATGGGAAATAGGTGGGACCCAGCACTGGGGGTCAGGGGGCCCTGAAGAGCTGCCCCTGCAGCTTCCCTAGAACAGGGTCTGGGTTGTGTCTTTGCTGCTTGGCCTGCTTGTGAACCCCCTTCCTAGTGGCGGAAAGGCACTTTCCTTAAGTCACCCCTTGTCCCCACCAGCCCTGCAGTGTAGGATGTGAACTTCAGGAAGATGGGAACAGAGGCAGCCCATAGTGGGTCAGCTTTCAGGATGCCTGAGCCCCTGCACAGCCCGGAGGTCACGGACACCTTGCAGTGGTGCCCCTTCAAGGGGAACTGCCTGCTGTCCTTCTGGGGTGGGGAACAAGGTCCCATGGTGACCCCTGGGAAACCAGCCCTGTACCCGCTGTTAGCATTCCTGCTTTCCTTGCCCACAAGTTGTGGCCCATGAGGAAGCCGGTGGAGTGTCCCCAGTAGATTGTGTTTCAGAGGTTAATAAGGAGCAGATGGTGACGTAGGGGACAAAAGAAGAAAGCTGGGCAGGGCTGCCCTTTTCTAAAGGACCAAAGCTGTGTTCTGAGCCCCAGAGTGCAGTGAGGGATGGCTTGGCCACTCTTGGTCTCCTGGGTCCAGAAGGAGGGTTGGGCTTCGCAAGGCCCCTCCCATGGGACAGCAGAGAGGCAGGCTCCCTCTGTGTTTGAGGTTTCTTCTGTGGGCAGGACCCAGAGCTCTCCTGTGGGAGGCTAGCATCAGCTGAGAGGTATGTCCAGGCCAAATGCCAGTGAGAGACACTTGATCTTCAGCCTGCCTGTCCAGGAGCTCAGGTTTGCTTCTGTGCCCACGAGACTTGCCCTCACCAACCCTGTTCCTGATGTCAGGGAGGAAACACTTCCACTCCCTTCCCATCCTGAGGTTCAAAGCTACTCTTTCCAGAAGTGTCTGAATTCTCTGGAGACTCTCCATGTGACATTTAGCAGCCTCTGGGAGGTCAGCACCAAAGTTCCCTTTTCGTGCTGGGGAGATGGCTCAGTGGAATAAACACTTCCCTGGCAAGCACCAGAGCCTGAGTTCAATCCCCAATTCCACCAAAAAAAAAAAAAAAAAAGACAGTTTACAAAGTTCCCTTTTCAGTGGTCACCGTGGTACACATGGCTAAATAGTCACCCTTACCCATCTACAGGACAGGGACAAATGGTTGGGAGCCTCTCTTTCTTGCAGACCTCATAAGGTGCTGGGTGCTCCCTAAACCTGGTGTGCTGGTGCCAGCGCTATCTATGCCCAGGCTCCAAGCCCTGGAGCTGTAAGGTCTGAGCCATGCCTGGCTACATCAGGGGGCCTCTGGCACAGGCCTCCAAGGCAGTGGGCGGCAGAAGTGCCCTTGACAGCAGGGTAGCCACTGCCAGGATCCTGGGATCTGCTTACCTTTGTCCACTAGTGAGAGGCCCAAAAATTCAAAACAAAACAATGTTAGACAAACAGGAAAGAGTAAAGACACCCACAGGCTCCCGAGGGTGATGCTAAATGTGGAACTGCCCAGCCATGCGGGGCAGGGAGAGTGCGCAGTGTCACTGAAGGAGACAAGCAAGCCAGCAGGGGGCCATGCAGGGCTGGGGCCTCACAGGGCAGCACGAGCTGGGTAGGTTGGATGGTGCTTCTTACCAAGCTCCTCCAGCTCTGCGGTCATGGACTTGGAGCGCAGGGTGAGGGCCGTGGTTGGCGCCCGCTTCGGAGGTGGGGGAGCTTGACAGACAAACAGAAACAGGAGTGAGAACTGGGGCGAGGCCCTGCTCCGTACCCATCCTTCCCACATTTCTAGTTTTTCTTTTTCTTTTTAGGCAGAACCGGGGATTGAACTCAGGCCCTTGCGTTTGCCAGGGAAGCACTTATTCCACTGAGCCATCTCTCCAGCCCCCCTTCCCACATTTCCAGACATGACAATAACGGGTGGGGGGCGGGGCAGTGGCTCTCTTGCCTACAGTTTTGTGGGGAAGTCTGGCAGTGGGAAGGCAGGCCTAGGTCCATGGCCTGTGGGTGAGTCATGTGGCAGGGAGGTCCTGTGGGCTGGATCTTTTGGCCATGTGGGTTTGCTTAAGGTAGAGTAAGGTGAGCACTCGGCTGAGGAAGGGAGGGAGGGAGGCCTGTCCAGCGTGTCTGCATGGACTGTGATGCTGACTAATGGGGCATGGCTGATGGACTACAGATAGCTTTGGCACTCTGCAGGCCCTCAGCTCTCAGCTACCACTGCCAGGCTGGGCAAAGGCCCTGCCCCCCATCACATGTACAAAGGCTTTTTGCTCAGCTGATGCTGAGTTTCAGGGGAGGCTGGGGACTGCCCTCCTGCCTGCCTGTCTCCAACTCCCTCCTCCATGAACCATTCCTATGCCATGCCCTGACTGCATCACTCCGCATCGTCTTCCAAGCCCAGGCTGGCCTGCGGCCACAGGATTTGGTGTCCTTGGTGCCACTACAGAGCTGCTTTCTGTGGCTAAAGAGACAGCTGCGACCCTTCCCTACTTCTTACCAATAGGGCCTGTGCTTGGGGGGGTGGCATGGCTCTGGGTCATTGTCATGTTTGTGGTGGCCAATTCTAGCCCCGAGCCATGTCTGGGTTTCAACTAAAGAGAAGGTGCCGTCCACCCAACAGAGGGCCCTGCCCGTGCCCCTTGCAGGGAGTCTTGAGGGCACCCACCTTTCTTCCTCGCAGTGTCATCAGGGTCCAAATTCCTGGTCACCGTGACGACCTTAAGGACGAGGTGATTCCCTCCCTGGCGGATCATGTTCACCACCTGCCTGTGACCCACTTTGACAACATTCTCGTTGTTAACCTGTGGGAAGACAGATCAGTGGCCGGGTTAGCAGGAAGGAGCGCAGGCAGGGCAGCAGGCAGCCTGAGGGGACATGTGGTCTTCTGAAGCCAGGGGCCAGCCTGGGGAGGGAGAAGAAGACCTCAGGAGACAAAGGAAACAAAGGCACTTCTGAGAAAACCAGGATGAACGCTGTGCAGGGGCTCCTTAGCTGTGCCCAGGGAGGCTGGCACCTCCATCTGCCCACGGCCCTTGTTCATCCAGCCCACTTCTGCAGCTGGGCAGAACCCAACCTGAGAGCTCTCAGGGTTCAGAGCTGTGGGCCTGGAACAGTTCTCACAGCCTGTGGCTCTGTGGAGAAACCCAAGTGGTTTTCAGGATCGGGGCTGAGTGACATCATCCCGTTTTCACAGTGAAGAGAAAACCCGGCACTTAATTGCCTCTCAAGCATTTTGGGGCCACATGTCATATGGACATGGCTGGTTTCCTCCAGAAGTTCTATTTTTCCTCTCTGTAGGCCTGTGATGAGATTGTGTGAGGGGTGGCTCGCATGCTGCAGCGGGCTCTTTGCTGTCATCGAACGCTCTAAGCGGTTCAACATCACTGGTGTAAAAGCTTGGCTCAATGAGATGCTAAGAGGCAGGGACCCAGCCTTGTCCCAGGGGGACGAGGGAGAATTTCCTAGAGCCCCCAGGATAGTGGGTCCCATGCTTGGACGGTGGTGCTACTGCCTCCGCGTGGGAGGAGCTCTGGGCCTTTTCTGGCTGTTCTCCCCTCACCCTACTTGTGCCTTCCCCTTCCATCCCCTGGAGTGTGGAAGCCAAGACTTGGGGCTACCCACAGCACAGGACACTGGGCTCAAGCCCCCAGGCCTCAATCCTTCTCATTGACCACAGTGCAGAGCCTCCCTTCTGTGGCCACTAACCAAAGAAACTTGCGGCCACTGGGAATGACACCCCTGCCTTGCCTACCACGTCCGTGACCCAGCTGCAGTTTTCAAACATTGCCATGGAAATGCCCAGCTTGCTGCACCTGGATGGTGAGCCTGGGGCCTGCCCTGTAGTGCTGCTGCCTGGCCCGCCACTCACTGCCTGTAGCTGGAGGTATAGACAGTGAGCCCACTGCACAGCGAAGTTCGAGACCAGTTCCTGCACTCATCCTGTAGCCCGTTTCGTGGCAGCTGCCAGCCATGTTGCTGTACCTCTGTCTTCTGCCATGGGGTTCTTTAAGATTTTAAACGACGTGTACCTCAGTCAGGAGCATTGATACAGTGCAATGCACTACTTGGCGAACTGTTACAAATCTCACATCCTGAGTACTCGATGTGGATGAGAGGGATGAGGCAGCTGGCTCCCCGCTGTGGGGACTTAGTGGCCACGGCTACTGCTTTGTGGTCTCCCCACTTGGAGGACCGGCTCCTCTGGTTGCCCAAGCCAGAGTGTCCTGTCCTAGGAGCACCCTTAGCCTTCGAGAGGAACCGTCTAGGTGAGGACAGCATAGTGATTGTAGATCTCTGGATGCTCTCTCTTCTCAACTTGCTTGGTGCATAGCTGGCAAATCAGGTTAACCTAGGAAGTGAAAAGGGCCTGGGGGAGGAGAGCAGTGGGGAGCACATGAGGGGGTGGGCAGCCAGCCCAGCTTGGCCACACTCGATGTTCAGGCTATGCTGGCTCCGAGACAGAGGGAGGACAGGCTACAGGTGGTGGCTGGTGTCAGTCCTCTCTCTTCCCTTGTCTTCATGCCACATAGTGACCAACACTCAGAAACTCACTGTCTTGTTTGTGCCCTCCCAGGGTTTTTGCTGTGAGCGCTTACTGAAAGCTGGGAGGTGCAGATGTGATTTTGACATGAACTCTGTCCCTGCCATCCAGAGCTTGTGTTCTCATGGGGAAGACACCTGACTCCAAGTAAATGAACAAATTTTAATATCAGGTGTGCTAAGCACCACCCGAGAACACAGAGGCCGCAGGAGAGTGGCTGGGTATCACGCAAAGGGCAGGCAGGGCTGCACGAGGCATAGTGGGAGGTACCTTCTGTCACATCCCTTGAGGAGGAGCTGGAGACATCTGTGGAACAGCAGGATGACCTGGTGGCTGGAGCAGAGCCAGCACGGGAAGGGCGGCAGAGACAGTAGTGGGATTCCAGTGGCTTGAATATCAGGTTGGTGAGTTAGGTTGGGGCCAGAGAGTGGCAGGATGTGATTCATGTTTTTGGACCACGGATCACACTGCTTCTGGTGTAGAAGTAGAAAGGGCAGCTGCTAGGGCTGGGGAGGGTGCCCATGCTAGGGACAGTGGTGCAGAGGAGACTGGGGAGGGTATGAAGCGCACCAAGGAGAGGAGGTATAGGAATCATGCATGGCCTCCTCTGGATCTAAGGAATGCAGCCCAAGCCTACCCTCATCTCTGACTTGGGCCTCTGTGAGTCAGGCACCGCTGTAAGTGTGGGAGGCACCTAGGAGTGAGGGAGTACTTGCCTGGGCTCAGGAGCCACAGGCCAGTATCCAAGGCCTTTGAGAAGAGCCCTGGCAAATTAGCTGGTAGAAGAGAGCCTCCAACTGCACATCCACCACATTGCTAGGGTTGGCCACGCTTGGTGCTGGGTTATGACCAGCTGCTTCACTCCAGGTGCAACCCGAAGGCCAGGTGTGGAGCAGGGTTCCTGCAGGAGAAGCACTATCACCTTCCATCTGCTGCCCATCTGTGGGGTGTCCTCTGTCCGAGGCTCGGGAAGTGGAGGCGCTGGTAGGCTCAGCAGTTCAGGAGCAGGGCTTGCGTTGTTTCCTAAGAGCTCATGGGTCTGGAGGGGACTCTGCCATGAGGGCCTGGGGTCTGGGCTCTGACAGCCAGTCCAGCCTACACTGTCCCTGGCCCTCACAGCCTGGAAGCGGTCTCCCTGGGCCCTTGTCCTCTGGAACCTTCTGTGCCTGTTGGTAGGTGGGCATTGCTTTCCTGTGCCCTTGACCATGACTATCCCTTGACTGCTTAGGAAGCAGCGGTTTGCTCCTATGTCAGGGGAGAGCCAAGGGGTGGGGAGCCCTTTTCTCTGAAGAGAAGGGGCAGATGCCACCACCAGTTGGGGAGACGGAAAGAAGTGAATTGCTCATAATGGACTCTTAGGCAGCTTTGTGGAGTCAAAACTATGCCCGGAGGCCTATAGAAAAGGACGATGAGGCACAGGGGCTGAGGGCCTCAGTGTCTGCCCTTCAGGTTCGTGCAGTGTTCTGCAGCCAACAGCTCATGCTCCAGCCCAGTGCCACCCTTGTGCGGCCATCGTGTTCATGCCCAGGAAGGCTGGGCCCTCAGAAGGGGTGCCTGAGATTGGAGGTGACTTGATGTCTTTAATAAAGAGCTGCTGCTGCTGCTGCTACCCTGGTCATCGGGCAGTGTCACCCAGCACACTCCCTTGAGAGGTTCATAGCAAGTCTCAGCAGGCCACAGAAGATGGCAAGAACTGCTCACAAGAGGGGAGGGAGCGAGGCTCTGATCAGCCCAGAAGTGCCACTTGGCCTTCTCCAAAACTAGATGGGGCAAGGGGGACTACAGAGCCCAGCAGGGGCTGGAGCTGGGCTGGACATGGGAAGCTTTTGGCTGACTTTCCTTTGACCTGGATATGTCTGATCTGGGTCTTCCTGCATTAGGAGTATTGCTCTACATCTGGAGCCCAGACTGACTTCCAAATAACACCTATTATACCCAGCGGCCCTGGGTGTACCTATCCTCTTAGGGGTGCACCTACCCTCTTCCCATAGCTAGGGTGGCATCTGGTGGGCCTCTTCCATCCTGGCCTTCCCTGGAAGCCCTCCCAAGGAGTACTGTGGGATCCAGTCTCAGGATGAAAAGACTGCCTGGAGCCCAAGTCGGTATGCCCGACATGGCTGACACCCCAGCGCATCTGTAGAGGCAAGTTTTTCCCTGTGAAGTCAGTGGAAGGATGGAGGGTCCTGCCATGTGGTTTCTTGCTTGGTGCCCTTCCTTGAGTGGGACACATGCTGCTCTCCAACGGAGCGTCTTCTCAGTAAACAGGGTCCACTTGCTTTCAGCTCAGCAAGCGCGTAGGCCAAGGATAGGGAACGTTAATAACGGCCTCACACATCCCAAGATGTTCTTGCTGCCCATTCTGGTAAATCTCAGGTTGCCAAGGGCCAAATGTACCAAAACAGTGCTTTAATCCATGTTAATTTAGTTGTTACGGTTTGTGTATAGTTTTCCCCCAAAACCTCACGCAGTCATTGGGGCAGGCTTCTAGAGTTTGTGATTAATTCATGATCCAGTGCTGGGATTATGGGTCTGAGCACTGCTGGGATTATGGGTGTGAGTGCTCCACCCAGCCTGGGGCAGATAGCCAGAAGGCAATATAGAGAGGAGAGAGGCTTGCCACCTCTTGCCACTGCTGCCCCTCTCTGCCCTTCGCCTTTGCTGTTTTCTGCCACCATGAATGGCTGCCCTCTGCCATGTGGCACTCTGCCTTGGAGCCAGCTGAGTATGGACTGAAACCTCCACAAACTGAGTGAAATAAAGCTTTCCTTCCTTCATTTTTGGTGTTGGGTATTTTGTCCCAGCAATGAGAGAAAGTAACTGAGACAGTGGTCAAGACTAGAAGTTTGACATGATTACACAAGAAGCCCATGTTTCAGTTTCTTGAGTTTTCTACTCCCATAGAGTACTGGTATTGGGGAGCCCTGCAGCCCCCCACCCCAAAATTGAGTCAGGCCCAGGTGCTGCTGCATGCATGGGACCCACCCAGCCTTTCTGGATCCTGAAGGCATTTTCCCTCCTGGGAAAGTCATTGGATTTGTGACTTACGCTCGCCACTGCTATGATAGAAAATTGCTATCATAGAATGTTGGAAAGGGATAAAACGAACTCCCCATATTGTTGGTCTCACAATCAGTCCAGGTTACATGCATGCAATTGATTGTGATTTTTTTTGGGCACCTGTAGGTGAATGAGTTGGGCCATGAGCTCAGTGTCCACGGCTCAGTCGCTTACTGGCCAGAGCTGGAGTCATCCAAGATGTTG